GTTGAGAAAGGGAGAGTTAGAGATTGAGGAAATGAAGGAGATAAAAATAAGAAAAGGAAAAAGAAGAGAAAAGAGAGAAATGGAAGAGAATAAAGGAAAGAGAATCGCTTGAGCCTTCTGTGTATTTGGGAAATTTTGGCGCGAGTTGAGAGATGGCGGCGAGGTCCGATTTCTGTTTGTTTTTTGTTTTTTTCGTTTTTTTCTTTCATTAATTTTCATGTGTGCTTGGGGGGCGGGGGTAGTAGACGAACGTGTGTGCGTGTGCGTGCGTGTGTGTGTGCGTGTGTGTGTGCGTGTGTTGCGTGTGTGTGTGTGGGTTGTAATGTGTTGTGTGTGTGCTTGTGTGCGTGTCTGTCAGTGTAGTAATAGTAATTCGAACCGCTCACTATTCCCCTGGCCCTCACCCCCCTCCCCCTCCCATCTCTTTCTCTCCTCACCTACCCTCTTCTCCTCTTTCCCCTCATCCTCTGCGTCGTCTGGGTGGGTCGTCCGGATGTGCTAAAGACTCCCTCCCCCTCCTCCCCTTCCCCCTTCCTCCCTTCCCCTCACCGTCTTCGCTTTTTCACTCTCCACTAAACTCTCTCCCCTTATTTCCTCTCAAGAGTACTTCTTTTCTCCTCTCCTCTCTCTTGTGCTCTCTCCTTCCTTCCTCCTTCCTTCCCCTTCCCTTAACAGTTCCTGTGCATCCTCCTCTCCGCCTCTCTCCCTCTCCCTCCCTTCTCTCCTCCCCTCTTCTCCTCTCTCTTCTCTCCCCCCCCCCCTCCCCCTTCCTTCCCGATATCACCAGAGTAGTAGATGGAGAGGAAGAAAGATTAAAGATGAAAGAAGTAGATTGCAGAAAGTAGAGAGAGAGACAGACAGACAGACAGACAGACAGACAGACAGAGACAGACAGACAGAGACAGACAGACAAACAACAGACAGACAGAGACAGAGATAGAGAGGTACATGATAATGGAAAAGGAGAGAGAGTGGGTAGAGAAAGGAAGGAAGAGGGGAAGGAAGGAAGAGAGGAGTGTAGATGAGGTCGTTAAAGATTATATTGAAAGTCGTAGGGGGGGAGGGGGGAGGGGTAGGGGAGGTTCGATCCTTTTATTTTCTTTCTTTTCAAGCGAAGGAGGGGAAGGGGAGCGAAAAGGATTTAAAAAATGAAAAAGAGAAGAAGGGAGGAGGGATAGGTGGGAGGAGGGAGAGGAGGGGAGAAAGAGGAAGGGGAGGAGGGAGAAGGGTAGGGGTTAAAGAGGAGAGGGAAAGGGGAGAGAAGGAGGGAAAAAGAGAGGAGGGGAAGGAGGGAAGGAAGGGGGGAGTGATGGGACGTTTAGGGCTATGAAGAGAGTCATAAAGCGATGTGATGGATCTGATGGAAGTAATGATGGAGGGAGAGGGAGGGAGGGAGGGAGGGAGGGAGGGCGAGGGGAGGAAGGGAGGGGAGGGGAGGAAGGAGGGGCGATTCCGGCGCGCCAAAAGGGTGATTGATGATTGACGTTTCATCTCTCTCTTGCGCTTGTTTTGCAAAGCGTTGGCGGTCGACCCTTTGATTGCGCGACTGCGGCGTTTGTTTGTGTGTTTGTGTGATTTTGTGTGTGTTTGTGTGTATGTTTGCTTTCTGTGTCTGTGTATGTTTGTGTGTGTACCCGCAATTGGAGGTTTTGTCTGCATCGTCTTTTTAGATGTTTATTATTTGGAATGGCGCCATGCTAAGGCGATGATTTTTTTTTCTTCTTCATCTCCTCCTCCTCCTTCTCTCCTTCTCCCTATCCTCATCTCCTCCTTCACATTCTCCACCTCCTCCTCCTCCTCCTACTCGTCTTCTGTTTCTTCCTTTTCTTCCTTCGTCTTTCTTTTTCTCTTTGTCTCGCCAGTTGGTTCCTCTTTTCATGAGAATCTACCGTTGGATTAAATTAATGAAAGGAAGAAAGTAAAAAAACGAAACCACAATCTTCTAGAATTGTAGGAACTCTGACTTCAGATTTGGGATTCAAAAATTTCGAAAAAGGACTCGACGCTGCGTGTTTGCGGTTTTTATGATAATTTCGCAAATGGCAAGGGTGAGACACGCCTCTTTGAACGGCGCTTTCTCTTGCGTTTTCTTTGCGTTTTTCAGTTTCTTCTATAATCCCGTTTTCTGTTCGGTTCTGATGAGGACCCCCTTGAATTCCCGTTTTCTCTGGGACTGTCCTTCGTTCGCAAGTGGGCATTTCTAAGCATTACGCTAATCCTTAAATTATAACCGCACGTAATTAAGTAATGGTGTCTAGTTTAAAATCGGCGACAGGGTAATTTTGTAAGCCACGTTCCCCCACTCCCCCCTCTTACTCCTAGCTAAGCCCCCCAACCACCCCCTCCCCCTTTCCAGAAGCGAGGGGACGCGAGCTCACGCAATTCTCACATTCGGAGTTAATTATGTTATTGGTGTCTCTCTTTCATGTCTCTCCCTCTTTCCCCTCTTTTTTCTTTCTTTCATGGTCTCGTATATTTCTTCTCTCTCTCTCCTCTCTCTCCTCTCTCTCTCTCCTTCTCTCTCTCTCTCTCTCTCTCTCTCTCTCTCTCTTCTCTCTCTCTCTCTCTCTCTCTCTCTCTCTCTCTCTCTCTCTCTCTCTGGCAGGGTTTGCAGTTGTCTACAACACTGATAACAGTATCAATGTTCCGCATGACACGGTTCTTCCTTTCTCCTTCATTTTGTTCTTTTTCCTCTTCCCCCTCCCTTCTTCCTCTTCTTCTTCTTCGTTGTCGTTGTCTTCGTCTTCGTCTCCGTGTTGCTTTTCTTCGTCTTGTTTTTCTTGTTGCTTTCTTTCTTCTATTTCTCCTCCTCCTCCTTCCTCTTATTTCCCCTTGTTTCCTATTACTTCCTCTTATTCCTTATTACTTCCTCTTATTTCCTATTACTTCCTCTTATTCCTTATTACTTCCTCTTATTCTCGAGCGCACCGTCAGCCGCCATGCATTTCCAACAGCGGCAAGATCTCTGCCACCATAGATTTCGTCCCCCGGCGAGGCCCATTCGATAGCCTTCTCCTGCCGACAACAGCAGCAGCAGCAGCAGAGGCAAGGGCGGCTGTTTTGTAAGCATGGTTTTCTTTGCCGGTTGATTATCGCCTCTTGCAGATCCACGTGCAATGCGTGACTTGCATGGGGCTACAGGTGTTGCAGCTGTCTACTTGTGTTCGGTGTCGTTGGTTGTATGTGTGAGTCACTTTTTTTTTTTATTTTCTTGGAAGGTGAAGGAAGTTTATGAGTGTGTGTGTGTGTGTGTGTGTGTGTGTGTGTGTGTGTGTGTGTGGTGTGTGTGTGTGTGTGTGTGTGTGTGTGTGAGAGAGAGAGAGAGAGAGAGAGAGAGAGAGAGAGAGAGAGAGAGAGAGAGAGAGAGAGAGAGAGAGAGAGATAGAGAGAGAGAGATATTCCGCAATTTGAAAAGTGGAAAAGTTTATGTGTGTGGGGTGTTTTTTCTTCTTGTTTTGTGTATGTGTGTGTATCAGGGGATTACGAGCATGGGGGGGGGGTTATGTATGTATGTAACTGTGTGTGAGTTTCGTAGCGCAGTTTTCTGGGTCACGCTGTCTACCCACGTTTTTAAAGGGCGAAACCGGAGCGCGCGTGTTTGTGACCCCAAGAAAAAGGCGGGGTC